ACAACCCATGAAATGCTAACATTCAAAGTTGTCTTTTTTGATTAATCATGCCAACAAATATTCTTAAGTATCAGGGCTTTTTTTCCCATTATATGAAGAATGAAACAGGAAAATACCGTGTAAGAGCAATTTCCACACTTGTTCTCACAGTATGCAATCTTAATGGCTTCTTCTACATATTGGAAAGACAGGAAGGAATAAGGAAGACCCAGGTGATATACTAGACGACCACATCTAGGAGAGAAAGAACTTCAAGGTTACATATACATAAAATTTAACATCTCATCTTAGTATATCTTATTTTACTTATGCCAAAAGCTCTTTTTCTCCAAAGAGCTCACAGTAACAACCAATCTCCATCTCACAAACATCTGTCTGCTCAGCTGCTTTAGTACATGCAAAGTCTGCTTTCTTAATGGATGTAAACACTTTGCTGGCAGAAATTTCTTGCTTATCTGCACTTAGATTGCCAAAGATATACAATAGCAATACCTGTCCTCCTAATGAGGAGGGCAGTTAGCATAGGTGTACAAACCACTGCATGGACTTTGTATCCAAAGAATCACAGAACCACAGAATATCCCAAGACAGGAGGGATCAACAAGGATCATTAAGGCCAACTGCTGGCTCCACACAGGAACACTCAAACTTCAAACCCTATGTCTGAGAACACTGTCCAAATGATTATTAAATTCTGGCAGCTCTGGGTAATGATCACTGCCCTGGGGAGCCTATTCTGTACCCAACCACCCCTCCGCTGAAAAGCCTTTCCCTAATCTCCAGTCTGAGAGAAGGAATGTCTGAATGCAGCCTAACTTGACTTCTGATTGGAATGTACATTATGAACCATCTACATGAGCAATTTAGTGTGCACTGGGAGGGGGATTTTATGAATACAAAGCTGCATCATGTCTGTACTTCAGTACTCTGGTAGGTACTTAACTGTACAAATGGAACACTAAAAGCAGCTGGCATAAATGCGGAAGCTGTACGCCACTTTGATAAGCAGGTATCTGCAATGTCAACAGGAGGTCCTTCAGCCCTACCTTTAAACATTTGCCATAAATACCTAGGACCAGTAATGAGTAGGACATAAATTCCTAGAGCCATAACAGATTACAGCACAACTGTTGCCAAACCAATTAGTGTAGGTGTACACATATCCAAGGGGTCAACAGTGCAGAACTCTTCAACCTTTCAAATGCTGTGGGCCAGGTGGCAGCTTTGCAGCTACTCCATGGACTACATACAGTCTGTCTGTCATACAGCAACAACTTTCCAATTGGTATATTTGCTGACTAATATAGCTAATTTGCCTAATTTCATCATATTGAGAAAAAAAAAAAAAAAAAAAGCTAAATAACTCTCTAATTCTTCATTACATTTCATTATGCATCAGTACAAATAGCAGTCTTTGTTCTATCTTTTACATAATAATACGATTTACATAAAAATACAATTTACAAAATACGTAATTTTGTCTATTACATAATAGTAACCAAGATAGGCATTTTATAAGTGCAAGTTCTCAAATAATTTTCATCACTTCAAAACCAAAAACTCAGTATTCCAACTAAACAGTCATTACTGTCTCTTCCAAAAGATTCTTGTCCTAGAATCCTGTTATCAAAAAGCTAATTTTTTTCTATAGTTCTAAGTTTTTAATTCATTAGACACTTTCAGCAATTTCAGTCAAAATGTTCTGATGAAAAGTCAGGCAGCTTTTCAGGCTTGATTCTTCTTTCAAATACATGGACATAACAAAGTTGTTAGAGAACAAAACCAAAGACCGTAACCATGATATCAAACTCAACAGTCCAAAAGCCATCATAATTACTTACAAAGATTGTATGCACTTATCCCAAAACTTACTTAAGCAAAAGCAGACTTTTCTTTTGTAGCTTCCATTTCCCAGTAAAAGTGCACGTGCAGCTTGATGACTTTGTTGTGAAGTTATTTTAATGAATTAATACAAAGATCTACACATCATTACTCTAAATACATGTAAATATCTTCCAGTCTTTCCCTTTAAACACAAACCTGTCATAGATGAGAAAATCATCTTTGTTTCCATTTAAAGTAGTCCAGACATCAGCTTGGTGATCATCTTGTTGGTAGACAGCAATGTGGTCTGACACACTTTCCTGCAGTAGGTGAAATTTCTTTTGGGAATGAGGACTTTGATGGTTGACAACCACATACGAGATATTGACCAGTCCTTCATTCTCTAACTTCACTCGCAGGTCCTCCAATCTAGAAAGGAATGTGAAAATCAGCAGGCAATCATAGGAGGCTTTTCTCCTTTGCAATATGAAAATAAATCATTTGCCACATTCGTCAAAAGTTAATGTGCTCCATGTTGCCTTCCTTACAGGGAGTTTTTTTCCCCTCTAAGCAACAGTCTGCTAGTATTAAAACATTCTTGCTCTTTACCGTAAGTATCAGCTCTGCCGCATCTGAAAATGCTGAAGTTCTTTTCCAACATAAAGGAATGTATGACTGCTTTGCCATCAAGTCAGACCCTACAAAAGTCTGCATGCCTCAGTTCCTATCCTGGTACCCAGAACACAGTACTAAGTAAAATAGCCGTCTGTTAATCAGACTGAATTCAGTGTTATTTCCATGTCAGTTCTTTCACACTCTTCATGGTCTAACAAAGAGAACTTATGTAACGTTTTTGCTTAAATGCTGAGTTTGGGGTCACACAGTTTGTTAAAGAATGCAGTGTGAATACATCAGGTAGTTGTAAGTAAACCTACAGCACAAGGTCAACAGCTCTCCCTTTCATTTCGACTTGTCTACTTTCTGCAATAGCCAGAAAAGGACATCACATAAAAGGGATGGCAGCTGGGTCAAAAGAACAGCTACAGAATATCCTCATGACCTAGTTGGCCTCAGCATAATTCCTACAGGATTGCTCTAGAAATAAAAATACTTTCATTTTTTCACTTTCAGGATGTAGTCTAGAACTTCAAAGTATGCAGCCCTTTAAAAATGCATGGAATCAAATCCAACCACTTTGAAAGTCAGCCACAAAGCCAGAACTTTGCCACTGCTATTTATAAATATATATATATAAAATATAAAATATATAAATATAATACAATATATAAGATATAAAATATAAAACCCAGCCCCTGAAAAACTTTCTAAGACTATTGTAACATGAAGTTTTGCAGCCTGGGGAGTGAAACAAACATGTTATTACAGCGATCCTACTCAAGTTGTGAAACTAGCAATATGAAATTTCATGCCAAAGTGATTTCACAACCACTGAACCAAAGATAAGCACTGCAGGCAATTCATGTTTAGGCCAGCTCAAAATTATTTTCCTACTGCTGTTACTATCATACTACTTAACTGCTGGGAAATGGCCAGGTCAGCAGGACAAGGTCACTTAGGGCAGTGGTAATCTGAGGAAGCTATTCCTTGTTCAGTACACCCATAGTTGAGCGTGCATATTATCCTCAGTTGGCTTCATGAAGTGGTATTCGTGTTTTAGCAAAAGATGGAAAGGACACTGGTGCTCACCTGGAAGCCTGCAGCAGGCACAAGTATCAGCTAGCTTGGAGGAGAGCCACCACTGCCACCGACCCCCTGGAGTTCAGCATTGGGCTCTCCTCCCCAATGTGCCATTCTGGGGGCTCCTGGCACAGCTGGCTCTCTGCCCACCCTCCTGGGAGAAGGCAGAGAACCAGAGCCAGTCCCAGTCCTGCCCACATGGCTGGACTTATCTGAAAAGAAAGAAAATAAACAGAATGAGATCAATGCCTGAACAAAGTCCCGATGCTGAAATTCCCACGCAGAACACAGCAGGATACTGGCTCTGTTCAGTTAAAAAGAAAACATCAAGAATATATTTGATCCATTATGTTTGCTGTCTGACCATATTTATCTCGTTTAGTAGCAGAGTTCCTCTATAATATTTTTTTAATAGTTCAAAAAAGCTGGATTTTTAAAATGCTGCTAACCACATGCATTTCTTCTGCAGTGAAAACAGTGGTGCTGAATTAGCTTACATCTGCATAAGAACCTAGGTGCAAATCCAACCATTGACTACACAGAAACTGCAGCAGTGTGCAGTGTGTTCAAAGCAGCAAGCATTACAGAAAATAATATTAACAAAAAAGAAGCAAAAGAAAAGACAAAGTTTTTTACAAGTCAGTTTGTAGCACTCGGATGTCATTGAGAAAAATCCTAAGGCAAGCAGTAGAAACAAGCCTGCAAAAAACAGGAAATGAAAATTCAAGTTCCAGGATTTGCCATATCAGGCTCCTATCACCCACATCAGGTTCCTTTAGCGCTCACGGGAATCAAAGCATTCAAGAAATTCTGTAATTATCCTTTCACTCCAACAGCATAAAAACTTTGGCTTAATACATTCAGACAACTCATTATTGAGAAATAAAATGTTAACATTGTTCCCAACACACCCTAGGCTGTGGAACTGTGCAGTTCCAGCACTCATATCTGACATTAAATACAGACGGTTACGGAAACAGCAAGTTCTGACACACGACGACACTGATGAAAATCACAATCTATTAAGATAAATACATAAATGAAGAACACTGATCTTCCCAGACAAGAGACAAACGCTGCAAAGCCGGCAGAGCTGACAACTCCAGCTGTCCCCGTGCTGCTTTCCTGCAGTTCTACCGCAGTCACCCGGGGCACGGTACTCCGAAACCGCCCCGCACACAACTGGGAAGCGGCCGGCCGCTCCGGGGTCCGTAACCACCGCACGACGCCGGCAGGACCCCGTGCCACGTCCCGCAGCAGCCGCGCACCGGCGGGAGCTCCGTTCCCCCCGCGCCTCCCAACCTCCCCGCTGCCCTCCAGCCGCCGCTCCCCTCACCCCGCAGCGCCCGGGCCGGGCCGGGCCGGGCCGGGCCGCTCCGCTCCCCCCTCTACGTTGCCAGAAAGACGCGGCCGCACCGCGGCGCCGATCTTTATAGGGCGCTTGTTTACGTCGCGGGGCAGCGCGGGGCAAAGTTCAGGGAGCTCGTTCTGCGCGACCTTGCAAGCAAAGCAAACTCCTCCGGCCGAAGTTTCCAAAACTCCTCTCGGTTAACTCACTGCAAGTAGAAACCATTTGTCACGCAGACTAGAGAGGTGTTTTCCGTGCAGCGGCTCTGAACGTGGGGCCGTACCCTTCTGGGCCACCCCGTTTGAGCCGAGCAGTGGTACCGGCGGGCGGGGGGGCCCTGGGCCGTGCTATGGGAACGCGGGTGGCCGCGGCTGGAAGAGGCACTTCTCCGTTTGTAAAACTGCTGAGCTGGCAGTGACTTGTCTCGTGCTTTGTCCTGCGTAGGGAATGGCTCGCGGCAACGCAGCGCGTGTGCACCGCGGAGCTCCTGGTGCGTGGCTGCTCCTGGCTACAGCAGCTGCCCTGGCACCGGAGGGAACGGGCCCCTTCACCAACGTGTGTTGTGGGTTAAAGCCCTCAGAATACTGTGGGTGCGTGGAATGCGTGAGGCTTTGCCTATTGCCAGCAGCACGTAGCCCTGTTATGCTGTTAGTCTTTCTTTCCGTCTTCACGGAGGTAGCTGAGAACATTCACGTCATGCTGTTTTCTTCCTCCTTCCTCAGAGAAGGGTTTGCTCACGTGCTTTGTTTTGGCAATTGGCATTATTTCCTTCGGTGTACGCATTTATGTATGTTTATGTAGAAGTAAGTGTCTACAAATACAGTGTGCTCGTGCAGAGTTCATGGTGGTGAGACTTGCTTAGCTCTGTGCCCTAACCCCGTCTCCTGCCCAGATGAGCGCTGTGCTCCTGGCTGCGTCTTGAATGTGAGGAACAGAGCTGTCATCCAGAAATGCTGTGCTGAGGTCAACAGGAAGGGGGCCCAAGACCTGAGGTTTTACTCAGCAGTCTCCGAGGACACAAAGCAGAAAGCAGAGACAGATGTCTGATAGGGATTGAATGTGGGATGGAAGTGTGCAGTGGTCACTGATGAAAAGTATATTTGCTCCCAGGTAGAATACAGAGATACTCATACATGCTTTTCAGAGAGATGAGAAACAGCAGTTCTGGAGCAACTGTCAGCAGTTCTGTTAGCAACTGCCACCGTGCTAGTAACTACCATTTATTATACTACTACTACACTGCATGACATTTATTAAAACAATTATTAAGACAGAGGCATTAACTACATTTATACTTGCATCCTCTAAGCATCTTGCTTTATAACACCCACCCTACCAAAAATCATTGTTCTGACTTGAGATTCATTGAGGAAGACAGTTCCTCCATCAAGTGGTAAGGAATGTTACAGTGCTGGCTCTGAATGTAGATGGATCTAATTCGGCTGTTTTTGAAGTGTATGATTCCCTAAATATGTTTAACCTTCTGTCTGACATGTTGCCCTTACTGCAAGGAAAATTTATCATTTCCATATTTTTTTATAAATAGGATGAAGATGTTAATAGTTGCTAAATTTACAGCATAAAAACCCAACCATTCTGTTTCTTTTACCATCCCTCTTGTATCAGCAGGCTCCTGGAGCCCTTTGTCCATAGCTTCTAAAGAAATAAGTCCAAAATTTTAATTTCACTTCCCACTGCAAGTGTTATCTTAGTTGTTGAGTAAGACCCAGTCTCCCTGCAGGAAGCTGTTATTAATTCTAATTTGATGAAGCCTTCATTTTCAACAGTAATTATAATTATCACCCAGTGTCTACTCACTCTCTTTCTTAGCAGGGGGGAATAATGGTACTGATGGGAATAAGAGCTCTCTTCCCTTCTCATTGAGCATAACTATCCTTCTTTTTTCTTTGTTTATATCAAACTTCTCAAAGCATCACGGCATAGAAATGCCAGTGGACAGCTACCATTGTAATTACCTGATGTACATTATTTCTGCAATCTAGACTGGTAATACACACACTTCTGAAAAAAAATTCTAAATGGACTTGGAATTGTGAGGCTGTTGGTAATCATACTCTGGTAAAGTCTGCAGCAGTGACTTGCAACATGTGCAGATAATGCAGCATGGAAGCAGAACATGGATCCAGCGTGAATTCTATCACAAGATCTCAAGATGTCAGTGTCTGTTTTGCTGCTGGGACAGAAGGATGTCACAAGCAGGAAACTCAAAGTCCACTTGCAGATTGTAAGTCTCTGCTGATTTTTCTCTTGTGATTCTCATTTTATAGCAACGTAACAATGTCAGCTCAGTGGAATTACTCATCTTTTATAGAGGAATAATTTAAAACAAAAATAGGTCATTGAGGTTGACTTAATGCTTATATAAACCAAATTTGATTTGTTTACGAGACTTGGTTAAATTCTGTAAGTAAAGGTCAATGTAAGTGAAAACAAAGAATATATATTACAGTGAAGTAGATTCAGGAAAATAGTTGGAATAACAAGTTCATTAGTTAAAGTAACTCCAGAAAGAGTTATAGCAGTGCATTAAGTGTCTTGCACCAGAACACTGTTAGATAACAAAATGCATACGTGTCAGAATTCAAAGGAAGCTACAAAAGCTGACATCCTCTGATATAGACCTGGAGTTTGCTTCAGTGAACAAGGGAACAGCTGATAAAGGCAATTGTCTGTTTAAAAACAAAATTAGACTGAAAAAAAGCTGATTTTTAGGTAGATGTTTTGCTTTTCTGCTTGGAAATTCTATTACCACAACAGTATCCTTCTCCTTTTTAACCACTTTGTATCACACTGCAATTAACAGGGAAAGTATTTTCCATCAGACATGTTCTCACTTATATCTATTGCAGAGATTACAAGTGTAAACTGACACTAGTTGCTGAATATCTGTGTATTTCTGAGTTGCTTATTGGCTCTGTTTCCTTTCTGCATTTGAAATAGTTCTATCAGCCTACAAGTCCCAGATGTCATCTCAGTGGTTATCATATCACAGAGTTACAGAATCATTAAGGTTGGAAAAGACCTCTAAGATCATCCAGTCCAATCATCCACCTACCACCAGTATTTCCCCACTAAGCTGTGGCTCTTAATACAACATGTAAATGTTTCTTGAGCACCTTCAGGGATGTTGACTCCACCACTGCTCAGCCCATTGCAGCTCCTGACCACTCTTTCAAATTTTTCCTAATGGCCAATCTGAATCTCCCCTGACACTTCCCTATTGCTAGCTTCATGGGAGAAGAGGCCAACTCCCACCTCATCACAACCTCCCTTCAGGCAGTTGTGAACAATAAAGTCTTCCCTGTGCCTCCTTTTCTCCAGACTAGTCCTTCAGCCACTCCTCCTAAGGCTTGTGCTCCACACCCCTCACAGCTTTGTTGCTGCTCTTCTCTGGACATGACCAGGAATGTCTTTCTTGTAGTGAGTGGCCCAAAACTGAACACAGTACTCAAGATGCAGCCTCACCAGCACTACAGAGGGATGATCATCTCCACACTCCTTCTGTCTTCACTGTTTCTAACACAAGTCAGGATGCCATTGGCCTTCTTGGCCACCTGGGCTAACTGTTGGCTTGTGTTTAGCTGAGCGTTAACCAGCACTCCCGGGTCCTTTTCCTCCACGCAGTGTTCCAGACACACTGCACCAAGCCTATAGCATTGCCTGGGGTTGTTGTGGCTGAAGTGCAGGACACAGCACTTGTTCTCATTGCTCTTCATCCTATTGGCCTTAGCCCAGCTATCCAGCCTGTCCAGATCCCTCTGTAGGGCCTTCCTACCCCCAGGCATATCAACATTTCCTCCCAACTTTCTGTAATTTGCAAACTTCCTGAAGATGCACTCAGTGCCCTCATCCAGGTCATCAATAAAGACACTGAACAGAGCTGGCCTCAGTACTGATCTCTGAGGAACACCACTAGTGATCGGTCACTAGCTGGATTTAACTTATTCACCACTGCTTTCTGGGCCTGGCTATCCAGCCAGTTCTTTACTCAACGAAGAATATATATGTCCAAACCACAGACTTGTCACAAACTGTCCAAGCCAAGTTTCTCTAGTAGAATACTGTGGGAGATTGTCAAAAACTTTGCTAAAATCTAGGTAGACTACATCAATACATTAGTAAAAATATTTTTTGTTCTCTTTAATCAAGCTGGGCTTTCGCCTTTCTATTTTTTTCCTGCATATCCTACCAACTTCTCTGTGTTCTCCCTGAGTTTTCCATTCCTTCTTTCACAGGAGACAGACTCTCCATGACTTTCTGTTGACAGAAGGAAGGACTGAACTCCTTGATGGCACCTAAGAGAAGGTTGAAAGAAGGTGATTAAGAAGATCACAGCTATAGGACACCTGTACTTCTGTGAGCTTTGGTGTTTTTAGTAACAGTGGACCATCCTGTGATCTACAAAACAAAACTGTAAGTTCCTTCTGTTTGATTCTACTTAGGGTCCTGTTCTTGTAGACAGTGAATGAGGAAGAAAACATAATTACACCATGCTCAAAGCTGAGTATCTGTACAAATCTCCTGTATGGATCTCTTATTCCACACAGTGGAATACCAGTCCCTCTTCCCACAGGGATGATGCACTTGCACCTGGGACACCACAAGCAGCTTTAGGCTTTCCAGCACTGATTCTGTGCTCAACTAAAGCAATTAACAGTACTGACCAATGAATATGAAGAAAGATAAACAAACTTCTTGATTTTGCTGTATTTAGATAGTTCTCTTCACTTGAACAGATCAGGTCTTAAAGGGGGTGTAATTATAGTCATAGCTTTCAAAGTATAATTGATAATACGTCTGTCTCCTGTTCAGAAAATGTGGAGGAAAATGATTTATTTGCTAAACCCACAGTGTGTCATTGCAGATGATGGTAAAGGTCTCTCACTGGAATTACCTGTAAAAACAAGCTTTTGTTAATGATTTGTAACATGTCATCCAAGCATAGTTCAGTGCACTGAACTCTAAGCAGAGAATAGAAATTATGACAGCACAATGCATGAGATTCAGTGATAACACACTGTGAACCTTATAGGTAATTTGAAGTTGTTTTTGCCTATCAGTTTTTGCCTGTCATGTAAAATACACGAAAACTGAACTGAAAAGTGGGTCCAGTCAATGAATGAGAGGGATCTTGAATGCAAAAGTGCTTTTTCAAGAATTGTTGAGTTGTGATGAAAAACTGATGGCATATTTTTAGTCTTTTTTTTTTTTTTTTTAATGCACCTATGATGTCTTATTTTCCTGAAATACAGTAGTGACTGCCAATAGCATGGTCTGCAACAGATGTTAAGAGAGCTTAGGGATAGATTCAGATAGCTTAATACAATATAATCATTTTAAACATAAACAGAGTTAGCAAGCTAAAATGGTTATGGCTTCAAGTATATGCCTTTGCAGTTTGATTGCTGGTCATAATACTTTTCTGCTAACACAGACCTGGAATGCTGAACTGTAAAAAATTCTTGTGTGTCCTTCTGAGAGCAAGAGTATGCAAGTGTGTCATCAGCACAAGTAATGAACGTGCAGTTGCCTAAATCAACCCTTCATGTGAACTACTGAAACACTTTGCAGATAAAATGCAAAAACAGAGATATCCAAGTGCCGGTCTTCACTTAACAGAGTGCGTTTTACTTCTCTGGCACACAGGATCTTACACTGATAGCCATCAACTTCCACCATGAGCAAAAACTAGTTTCACAAAAAAAAAAAAAAAAAAAAGAAGAAGGGGTGGGAGGCAGGGAGAGGGTTGCTCCCAGTACCATAATGAGCTCAAAATGTAAGTAGCTCCTCTGGATTCTGTAAATAAAGTAACACTACAAAATGACCTCTGAGGGATGGTGAGAATTGAACTGTCAAAGAAATATATTCCATATGAATGAAAAGTTTTGCTAAGTGCATACACTTGAAACAATCAGATTCTGAACAAACTAACCTCTCTTTGTTTTTTGGAAGTGGATGGAAGTCTAGAAGAGTCAGGTCTTCACCTGGCTTTGATCAACTGACGTTTGATATGACAGAAGGACTTGTATCACCCATTTTAGAGTGACACCCTTTCAGGTGTTGTCAGCATTATTCTTTGAAGAGAAAGCAATAGTGACACTCAGCCCCCACCCATATGTTGTTTCTTGTAACAAAGCTATGCTGACTTTAAGTTTTGCTTTCAGCAAGCATTAGTTCATACAAACTTCAGCAGCTACACGCTGTTTACTGATATGTAGCTACTTGTATCTGTAACCCAATTAGAATGTACTGAATACACTGTGTAGTAAAAAGTGACCCTGCCCACAGGGAGAGGTTGGAGCCAGATGGTCTTTAAGATCTCTTCCAACCCAAACTGTTCTGTGATTCTGTGATAACAAGAAATTCTTGCAATTCTTAAGGAAGTGATGGTCTTTGTATGTTTTGTTTTCCACCCTTTCGTATAAATTTAGGAAAATATATTATATACTCCAATACTAAAGATATTCCAGTCTATTAAACAAATAAGCATTTAACCCTCCTATAAGATATGTAGTGATCATGGAGTCATGGAACGGATTAGGTTGGAAGGGACCTTAAGGCCCATCCAGATTTTCCAGCGTAAAGGTCACAGTGCACAGAGTGGAGGAAACAACATGGTGTTCAAAAGAAAGAAAAGCAAGAGTGGAAAAGAAGTTATGATGCCTGAGGACACATTTGGCAGTACCTGCACAAACTCTTACACTACTCCACATCACTCCATAGAGCGAAGATTGAAAAAATCTTCCCTGCAGTAGTCACTAGCAACACTCTTTGCTTTTATGAAATTACCTGTTTTGAATGTTCACATGAGCTTGGATGAAACTCCTGACTTGTCTAAGAATTCACACTAAACAGGTTTCATATCTTATTATCTACCTACAGGCAATAACGCCAATTCTCACTTTTGATCCTACTCACTGTCCAGTTCCAAAATCACTGACTTAGCTTGTGGAACTTGAAGAGTAACTCAGTCCTTGCCCTGACAAGAAATAGTCACCTCAGCAAACCTCAAGATTTCCCCAGTGAGTAGTTTGCATAGCTGTTCATTTCTCTTTCTGTATCTGTTAGGACTCTGTACCACTACAAGGAGACACGGTTCCCAGGCTGGCATTATACTTTGATAAGTCCTTATCTCTAGCTGAACTAGCTGACTTCAGATTTTTTTCCCTTTCCCTTTCCCTCTCCCTCTGCCTCTGCCTCTCCCTCTCCCTGCCCTCCTCTTCTTTTCTTTTCTTTTCTTTTCTTTTCTTTTCTTTTCTTTTCTTTTCTTTTCTTTTCTTTTCTTTTCTTTTCT